AACTCTTGTATTCCGTGAGTCACAATAATAATATAACAATAATTAAATATTGTTCAATTCTATATTCTTCTAGGATTTCTATTACCATCATTAATTATTCCCAAATTTACCATAATTAAATAATTTGACCAATTATAATGAAAGATTATTAAATAATGCACGGGACAATTGTTTAATTAAAAATTTTAAAAATTCATTAATAAAACATAAGGTTCTCATAGTTTTTTCTTAGAAAATCTTTAATAAAGTATTTTTTTTTTTAAGAAATTGGTGGGCCAAACCACCTACGGCAGTTTGCGGTGGATAGATCTCGAAAAAATACGCGATTTCAAAAAAACATTTGTCTAAAACGGACAACGGAGTCAAAAGTTATGCCTTGCCGAACTTTTGACACTTTACAACTTAGTGTCAAAAGTCAAAAGTTATTAGGATGAGAGATTTTTTAGAAATTGGGCGGGAAGTTAAAATTTCAGGATTTTGTTTTTATATATAGTATAGATTGTATTACAGTATTTTATAATAATATGAGAATAGAATTTTAACGCAGAATTATTGTACGAATGGGAAAGTAGAAATCAATATATTTTATTAGGAGTAGAGATTTTTTTGGAATTGGGCGGGAAGTTAAAATTTCAGGATTTTGTTTTTATATATAGTATAGATTGTATTACAGTATTTTATAATAATATGAGAATAGAATTTTAAGGCAGAATTATTGTACGAATGGGAAAGTAGAAATCAATATATTTTATTAGGAGGAGAGATTTTTTAGGAATTGGGCGGGAAGTTAAAGTTTCAGGATTTTGTTTTTATATATAGTATAGATAGTATAGATTGTATTACAGTATTTTATAATAATATGAGAATAGAATTTTAACGCAGAATTATTGTACGAATGAGAAAGTAGAAATCAACATATTTTATTAGGATGAGAGATTTTTTAGGAATTGGGCGGGAAGTTAAAATTTCAGGATTTTGTTTTTATATATAGTATAGATAGATTGTATTACAATATTTTATAATAATATGAGAATAGAATTTTAATGCAGAATTATTGTATGAATGGAAAAGTAGAAATCAATATATTTTATTAGGAGGAGAGATTTTTTAGGAATTGGGCGGGAAGTTAAAATTTCAGGATTTTATTTTTATATATAGTATAGATTGTATTACAGTATTTTATAGACATCAATATTATTTTATTAGGAGGAGAGATTTTTTAGGAATTGGGCGGGATGTGAAAATTTGAGGATTTTGTTTTTATATATAGTATAGACTATAGATAGATAGTATAGATTGTATTACAGTATTTTATAATAATATGAGAATAGAATTTTAACGCAGAATTATTGTACGAATGGGAAAGTAGAAATCAATATATTTTATTAGGAGTAGAGATTTTTTAGGAATTGGGCGGGAAGTTAAAATTTCAGGATTTTGTTTTTATATATAGTATAGATTGTATTACATTATTTTATAATAATATGAGAATAGAATTTTAACGCAGAATTATTGTACGAATGGGAAAGTAGAAATCAATATATTTTATTAGGAGGAGAGATTTTTTAGGAATTGGGCGTGAAGTTAAAATTTCAGGATTTTGTTTTTATATATAGTATAGATAGATTGTATTACAATATTTTATAATAATATGAGAATAGAATTTTAATGCAGAATTATTGTATGAATGGGAAAGTAGTAATCAATATATTTTATTAGGAGGAGAGATTTTTTAGGAATTGGGCGGGAAGTTAAAATTTCAGGATTTTATTTTTATATATAGTATAGATTTTATAAAATATAAAAAAATATTGTTAGAATAATAAATAAATAAACAAATAGTATTGTGTTTGTTTAAAATGTTTAACCACCAACATGTGTTCTGAGCCAATATTATTATTATTATTATTATTATTATTATTATTATTATTATTATTATTATTTAAAAGATAAATAAAACCAAATCCCTACCCAAACCAAATTCCCACCCAATTAATAATTCGTCATTCTCAGTTTCAGAAGCGCGGAAGGCCGACGATAACGTTTGTGGTTCAACTGTGGCTGGCAACGATGGCAACGGCGGCTGACAACATGGTGGTTGTTCCTCCTCAGTTTAATTTCCTTTTGTTGAAGCAGAGCCTCCTTAAGTATATTCAAGCTCATACCAGACGATATAAACTACAAAATATATTGAAGTACGGGGGAATATAGTTTAAAAAAAAGGTAGAAAATTAATACGAAAAGAAAGCAAAGAGATGAGTCTGATACGGAGTGGAGAAGCCCTACCGATGTGGAGAAGAAATGATGGGGAGGCTAGGAAAATTTGTATTTATAGGTAGAAAATACTAATTCAAAAGAAAAGTATAGTAATTTATTTATTTAAGGTATCATTATTATTATTATTATTATTATTATTATTATTATTATTATTATTATTATATTACAGTAATGCCCTTAAGTTTTGGAGGTAAAACATGTCTAGGAGGATTTTACTTTTTTATTATTATTATTATTATTATTATTATTATTATTATTATTATATTACAGAAATGCCCTTAAGTTTTAGAGGGAAAACATGTCTAGGAGGATTTTACTTTTATATAATAATAATAATAATAATAATAATAATAATAATAATAATAATAATAATAATAATAATAATAATATAGATATATATAGATATAGATATATAGATATACAGATATAGATATAGATATAGATATAGATTTGTGTATATATTTATTTAAACCTTAATTATAATTAATTTGACTCCACATATATAAAAGGAGAAATTAGATATGAAATAAACATATAATTCTTACATAAATAATCTTTTTCAAATGAATATGTTTTTGGTAGAGATTTTTGACAAATATTACATGTTATTTTATTTACATATTTTACTTAAATACGTTAGCTAAATAATTAAATTTATTTTTTCAAATTCAAATTCAAATAATAATACAAGTAACAATATACTTTAAAATCAACATAATTAAACTTTTAAAAATATTAAATATTATATTGTATAGTTATACTTATATTTTTAATAAAACTAATTCTGAACTGAAGAAATCAATTATATTTTTTGTTTCTATAACTATTATTTTCTTTACTAATTTAAATGATGTCAAAAATTTAATTAGTAAATTTGTTAAATTAATAATAATCCCCACGGAACAATTACTAGGCAAGTTAAAACAAGAGTCGTCGTCTATGGTTGGCAATGCATGAACGGCGAAGATATGATACAATTTTTTATTTTATTTTTTCTGAAAGCAGCTATAATGAGCTTATGAAAAAAAAAAAAAAAAAAGTAAAAATTAACACTTTTTGCCTGTCTTATATAAGAAGTTTCGTTGAAGTGTACTTTAAGATACAGAGGACATACATTTATGTTTAAGGATGACTTGGTAGAATGTTTAAGGATGAGGAATGAATTAAAGTCCAAATTAAATTCCTCAGTCAGCTGCTGCTTGTGGGAACATAGATTTTTCTTCGTCAGCTCCAACGTCAGCTAGCTCATATTAAGTTGTCCAATAATTATCCGATTGGCCCTATTTTGCTGAATTGAATAATATGCCTTATTTTGGCATGCAGATCACACTTTATTGAGCAATATTATCAGTTAGGGAGAATTGAGGGAGAATGTAAGAGTGATTAGAAAAGAGAATGTGGGAGGGGGGAGAAAAAAAGAAATAACAAAAAACAAAACAGAATTTAAAATTTAAAAAAAATTATAGGTAATCAGCACGTCAGGCGTGCCAGTCCACAATTGCGGGGTAGTTCTCACTTCAATTTGTTGTGTGATTTGAATACTCTCTTTGTCAACAAATTCCTCAAATAGTTAATATAATTGACTTTATTAATTATATTTTTAAAATTTTTTCATGGTATTAATATATATATATATATATATATATATATATATATATATATATATATGAAAAATTGTAGAAAGATGCCATTTTATAATATGTCAATTTTCAATGTCACCCCTGAATTATGAGTGGTGTACATGTTGCCCCTCAATTATCAAAATGGTGCACATATAGCCCCTCGTAACGGACCTGTGGTTCCCCACCGCTGTCTATCGCTGGTACTTCGAATCGAGAGAGGGAAAAAACAACTAAATTACATATTTACTCCAACTTAACGTTGTCGTACACTAACGGGGAACCACATGTCCGTTATTATTAAAGCATAATGAAGTATGAAAAAAAGTTTATTTTGTTCGAATTTATTGGTAAAGTTTTATATCTAATATAATTTGTGTGTATATATTCATTTAAACCTCAATTATAATTAATTTGACTCTACATATATAAAGATGATAAATTAGATATAAAATAAATATAGTTCTTACGTACGAGATAGCTAGTAGAACGTGGACCAAAACCCAGCTGAACGTAGTGTATTTTATGATACACGAGGACATACATATATGTTTAAGGATGAGGAATGAAATAAAGTCCAAATTAATTTCATTATTAGTCAGCTGCTGCTTGTGGGGACATAGATTTTTCGTCATGAGCCCCAACGTCGGCTAGTTCAGATTAAGTTGTCCGATAATTATCCGATTGGCCCTATTTTGTTGAATTGAATAATATCCTTATTTTGGCATGGAGATCACACTTTATTCTAATAGCTTTAATCGCACGTAGGCTGCAATGTGCGCGTCCACAGGGCATAAAATCGTAAATACCATTTTTTAACATTTTTTTTTACAATCATGTGTTCCTTTTTTTTTTTTTCTCTCTCTCTTTTTTTCCCTACTTTATTATTTTTTTTTTTATAGTCACACATGCAAAAATTCTCAAAAACTACAACTATTAGGAATGCTCTAAGAAAACAAATTAAATTTGAACTTATTTTCTTAATTGGAAACTCTATAGGGCGGCGGCGGTACATAGGACAATAAATTTGGATTATTGTCCGGCGTTTATCACGTTTGATGATGGGTATAAATACTGTTGCCTTGCCCTTCATTTCTTCATCGCAAGTCGCAACCTAACCTCATATACGGAGTTGATATATAGTTGATCTCTACTCCCGCTTGCAATATAATGGAAAACAATATCGTACGCCCTGTCGTCAACTTCTCTCCCAGTTTATGGGGTGATCGATTCCATTCATTCTCAATCGACAATCAGGTATATATATTATTTATTGAGTACGTGTGCATGGCAGAGCTAGTTATTACGGAGTATTATTATTATTATTGAGTACTACCGACTTTGTTACAATGTAATATCTGTTTATAACTACTTTCTAGCTAGCTCAACTTATTAAAGCACACAGAATCAATACCACCTCCATTAGAAGCGAACTCATGACCTCTCATTTGGAAGAACCACTTCGTGCCACTAGACCACAAGTTTCTAATTTAATTCGATCATCTTATTATATACTTGCAGGTTGCTGAAGCATACGCAAAAGAGATTGAAATTTTGAAGGAACAAATAAGGGCTACGCTGCAGATTGTTTCAGGAAGCAGTAATGTGGCGGAGAAATTAAAATTCATCAACCTGCTGGAACGCCTTGGAATAGCATATCACTTTGAGAAAGAGATTGATGATCAACTCCAACATATTTATACCCACCACCCGCACTCGCATGATGATTTGGAAACCGTTGCTCTTCAATTTCGATTGCTGAGGCAACATGGTTACAACATTTCTACTGGTAATTTATTAATTATATATATTATATTATAACTTCGATTATCACCAAATTAACTAATTAATGCATGCAGATATTTTCAGCAACTTTGTTGACAGCAATGGCAAGTTGAGAGACACCAGTGATGTGAAGGGTCTGCTGAGCTTGTACGAAGCTTCGTACGTGAGAACACACGGTGATGAGATTTTAGAAGGCGTGGTTGCTTTTGCGGCGACTCGTCTCCGATCTGCAGCACCACTTCTGGAACCCAACAGCACTTTAAAAAAGCTGGTGACGCATGCCCTAGATCAGCCATTGCACACCGGCATGCCCAGAATCGAAACGCGCTTTTTCATTTCGGTGTACCAAGAAGAAGAGGACTCGTCCAGGAACGATGTGCTGCTGCGCTTTGCCAAATTGGATTTCAATTTGCTGCAGATGTTGCACAAGCAAGAGCTCAGTGAAGTATCAAGGTTTGTTACGTTAGCCCTCATACAATTTATATATATATATATATATATATATATATATATATATATATATATATATATATATATATATATATATATATATATATATATATATATATATATATATATATATATATATATATATATATATATATATATACATTTTGTTGAATTATATTATATTATTGAACAAGCATGCATGTGTGTAGGTGGTGGAAAGAGTTGGACTTTGCCACAACACTTCCTTATGCAAGGGATAGAGCAGTTGAATGCTATTTTTGGGCACTGGGAGTATATTTTGAGCCTCAGTATTCTAAGGCTCGTGTCATGCTTGCCAAAAATATTTCGATTGTTTCGATTTTAGATGACACGTACGATGCTTATGGTACCTTAGAAGAATTAGATGTATATACAGATGCCATACAAAGGTATAGTATACAACAAAAGTATACTAATGTATATATATATATATATATATATATATATATATATATATATATATATGCAGTGTCATTTCTCTAATTAAGTTTGCCCTTTTTTCTGGCCTGTGATTAGGTGGGATATTAGTGAAATTGATCGACTGCCAAACTATATGAAAATTAGCTATAAAGCTCTGTTAGAACTTTTTGATGAAGATGCCAAGGTTCTCTCAAAAGAAGGAAGATCATATGCCGTCCAACATGCAATGGAAAGAGTACGTATGAATAGTAAATTTGTTATATGATAGATGTCTTATTTGGTTTGATGAAATCTATATAAATTAATGTATTAAATAGATGAAGGAACTTGTGAGATGCTACTTTATTGAAGCGAAGTGGTTCATTGGAGGACACAAGCCTTTGTTTGCTGAATACCTTAGAAATGCATTCGTTTATAAGAAGCATTCCTACAAACACTTTGTCTACATCTTATTCCCAATTCCGGCCTCTCATATCTTAGAGAACGGAATTGCAAGAAGGATGAGCTTTGGATCAAGCTACAATCTCTTGTTAGCTTAATCCTTATCAAACCTACATGAATGTGGTGCAATCACATCCAATGAGTCCATACAAGGCCCTCTTACAACAAGGCATCACACATCATCACAAATCCATAGATCAATTACATTCAACACAAGAGAATAAGATCCAATTCACTAAGGATTCTAGCCAAGCATAGCTAAGTAAATCAAAATTGCAATATGAAATCAATCAACAATTAGAAAATGAAAGCTATAAGAGAATAACAAATTAGATTGCAATAGTTGATCTTCTCTACAATTGTCTCTTGAATTGAAGGTTGTCAATCTTCTTCTCCAAGAGTTCTTCAACAATGCAATTGGCTAGAGATGACCTAGATTCTAGAAAGAGAAATCGAATCTAATCTCTAATTGGGAAAAATACAAGAATGAAATGATAGATGATGAAGAGAATGTAAATATACCCTAAGAACCCTAACTAAGAGTGCTAAGATCTGATTTCTAAAAGAGGGAAATGTTAGATTGAGAATTAGATGGAGAATCCCCTACAAGATGTTGGAAAAAGTGCTTGTAATCTGTAATACATTTGAGATACAACAATAATACAGAATACAACAGGGAACAAAAACTGAATCATTTGATATCTTCAGGCGTGTAATCACTTTCCTATAAGCTTTAAATCTCCCTCTATAAAAGCAACAAGGTTCAAGATTTAATCTTATGGGATACAAGAAGATGAATGAAATTCTCAAGTTGCTTTGTTTGAGAATTTCCTGTAGAGATGTAAGCCTGTGAAGTATCTTGGTTTCCTGCAAAATAATTACTTGTAAAATGCCTGTAAATTGTCTGTCCCTATCAGATGTTTCTCCAATATATTTATAGATGAAAAATATATCTGTTTGGAGAAGTTACATGAAAGTTGCTGTGATTTAAAACTCAACTTCCATAAGATAAGATATATCCTGATTGATATATCTATCACTGGAGAAATAATAAAATTATTTTGAGTCAGTAACTGTATGCAAAATTATATACATATATATATATATATTTATATATTCCTTACGCATGAAAACATGCAAAGAATAAATATAAATAATATCCATATATGTAGTTCAATAATCTCAAGCATACAGCTACATATACCAAGCATGTTAAGTGTAATTTTGAAGCATATAGCTTCAAAATGCATAAATAGAAGAGCATATTCCAAGCACGTTAAGTGCATATTCCAAGCACGTTAAGTGTAATATTGAAGCATATAGCTTCAAAATGCCCCAAAACCTTACGCATGAACATATCCAAACATGCATTAATACTCTCAAGCATATTAGCTATAACTCTCAAGCATATTAGCTATATATCACAAGCATATAGCTATATACTCTCAAGTCTCAAGCATATTAGCTATATACATTTCTCCCAGTATTTTAATTAACTTTCTACCAAACTAAAATAATATTTACAACTCCACAACTCCAAATATTATTTAAGCTTTCATGGTAGTTCATCTGAAACATTAATCTCCATTACTATATAAATTTCCAACACAAGACCTTGTTTATATCCTGAATTTTCCTTTGGAGTGATCGCACAACGAACTTCACAACGTGTGTTGTCGAGTTTGTTGATGTTTCTGGAATTTTTCCCTTATTGAGAGTTGTAGCCCTTGAAAATGCCGAACCATAGCCACTTGAATCACCTCATTTGGACACTCCTAACTCAAGATATGATAAATCTACCGAACTTTTGTCGGAATGCCCCGCAATTGACAATGTTTTGCTAAATCTAAGCATATAATAGGTTCAAAAGACTCCACTTATAGCACAATATGCCTCCTAAATAACACACGAAATATAGCATCTTTGGCACTTATCATAGCGGCTAATAGCTTTGTGTACAAACTCCTTCTAACACCTTGGTGAACATCTATTGGATTGGGCAGATGTGGGTTGCCCCGCAGACGTAGGAGAAGTGCTCCGAACTGCGTGATCAATTCTTGTATACTTGGTTTTATTTTTTGCCTTTGTTTGTTTATTTATTTCCGTTAAATGACTTAATTAATTGGTACGGTAATTTCCAATTTAAAATCAAGTAAAACCTAAGTAATATCTTGCATTCAAGATTCACGGCACAATTTCAGTAACAATGGATTTTAAGAAACCATGGAGATTAGGAAAGAAAAATGCGAAGTGGATACAGTCGAAGGTGGTTAGGAGTTAGTTATACAGAAGGAGAAAAAAAAAACCCCTAATTATCATTAAACGTTATATTGGCGCTAAATTTGTATCCGTTAGATTAATCCTTATCTATACGGCTTAGATTTAATATATTTTCCACAGGAGTTATGCTTTGAATGGGAGCAGCCCCTATATATATAGAGAGATATCTAAAAATATAAAAATATAAAAAGTGTAAATGATTATTATATCCTTTCTTCCGCGACGTTTTTTTTTCTTTTTAATACTTTTTGCAATAAAAGTTATACTATACAATATTTTCGACACATACCCACACCGTTATAACTTTCGTTATCTTTTACACTATTGTTACCATGTACATGCACCCACCATAACTTTCTTATAATAATAATAATAATAATAATAATAATAATAATAATAATAATAATAATAATAATAATAATAATAATAATAATAATAATTTATAATAATAATAATAATAATAATATACATTATATATTAGAGATTATATATTAGAGTTATAGGTAGTTATATCATAATTAAAATATAAATATCAAATTTATTAAAATGTTTGACATTATTATTATTATTATTATTATTATTATTATTATTATTATTATGGTTTACAATAATTTAAATATCTAAAATCTAAATAAATCTAAAATTTTAATATAAAGTACTCATATTGGGCACCTATCTTTTTCTTTAATTCTTTATATATAATATCTTTATCTAATCTAATCTAATCTAATCTAATCTAACTCTATAATAAAGCAAGAAGTTTTTGGCAAAAAGTTTTTCCACCCAATTGATACTACGTCGTTTTGGAGATAGAATATCTGGTTAAATTAAATGGTTTAATTAATTGCTTTTGGTCATTAATTGTTTTTATAAATAGTTTGGTTGTTTTTTTGTATTACCTATGCATCTATCCGTGCGCTAATTAAATGCCTTAGAAAAGCAAGAAGTTTTTGGCAAAAAGTTTTCCCACCCAATTGATACTACGTCGTTTTGGAGATAGAATATCTTGTTAAATTAAATGGTTTAATTAATTGCTTTTGGTCATTAATTGTTTTTATAAATAGTTTGGTTGTTTTTTTGTATTACCTATGCATCTATCCGTGCGCTAATTAAATGCCTTAGAAACTTCCTATGAAATCGGGAAAATCGAAGCGTTGCATACTTTAATTACGAATTTGAAGTGATTGAAATCTAATTGGAGACATCCTATTGAAAGGTCTTTTTGTTTCAAAAACCTCTTCGTTGTTCTGTAAAAGTCCTGAATAAATTCAACCTCTATATAAAGAGGTAGAATCAGTTAAAATTCAATCACAGATTATTGCGAAGAAGTAAACCTCTGTACAAAGACATATTGTCTTCTCAATACGTTTCTGTCAAGCAAATCAATCTAATGGTGGAGTTGAGGAGGAAGAGCTTAGGAGGAAGTTGGGAAAGCATGCATTCACGAGGAGGAAGAACACAGTTACTTGAAGGTTAAGGTGCGTTGATGTATGCATTTTTATTTGCTGAACAATCATCTGTCTACTTCTTGCTACGCACAACTGTGATATATAGAAATACAAAATGTAGAAATACCAAATGTAGAAATACAAAATATAGAAATAAAAAACATATATGTAATGTATTGTCTTTGTTCATTCTATATGCTGCCATAATCTATAAAATATTTATTTGTATTTTTATCATATAATCATATATATAACAAAGATGCAATATATAATTTCATGGATTATTGAAGAGGATGGAGATGGTTACTCTGATTAACAGTCCAAAACTTTCCAAAACACTTTAATATGAATTCTATTGCCATATCTATTTTCACTAACTCTATTTCTGTATTCTAAATTCAGCTTATGTGGTTAGCAAACCCTTTTACGTAGTATTGCCTCCATGTCTAGCTTGAGTTTTAGTTATGACAGATTTGAGGACCATACAACTAGGAGAATGATTATCAGTACAATTACTGATATTTATGAAAGGAGGGAGGTAAATTTTTATTTCATTTTAAAAAAATCTCTTACAATAAATAAAACACAAGGTCCTAACAGTTTTGGACTCTAACATATTTCATTATCTAACTGTTTGATTGGCAGTGAGGTGTTTTTTAGGTTCCCGCTATGGTATAGAATCTGGAATTTTTGACAGCATCTGAGATGAAGGGGACTTGGCCTACGGTTAGTGTACAACATTTAATTCCTTTTTTTCTCAATACTTATGGATTTCTAATCCCTTTTTAATGGTTTAGGTAATAAAAAAAAGTACATGCATGCACAACTCTGTTGTCTACTTACTGTCCTGAACAACTTGAAGTTAATTAGTTAAGACAAGGATTTTAGTCTTAGGAGAAACTGCTAGAAGATGATTCTCAAAATGATGAAGTTATATAGGTAAAGAAACCCTACAAATCAAACTGTAACTACTTGGTAATAGATCTATGTTTTTTGTAATAAGTGTATGTAATCTATGTTGACAGTAAAGTTACTGTAACAACTTTATTTCATACAAGAGTCAATATAATCATTTATCTAATTGTTCAAGATATTGTCTCTATAGGAGCAAATAATTGTCTTAAGTAATATTCTGTATTTTTAAGTGTTTTTGCAGGTCAACATACACAGACAAAAGTAGGTCACATTTAGCAGGCTCAAATAGCTTAAATATCACAGTTTCTACTTTTGTTCATAGGCTCAATAAAAATTTGAATAGTCAAATAGCTCAAATATCACAGCTAATATGATAGTCTTCAGCTGAAGCAAATATAGTGGTGGAAAATATTAAATGAAGTACCTTAAGTTCATTTGAATCTTCTCATTTAAATTCCTTCATTGTGTTGAAAATTAGATAGTTTGCCTATCAACTGGTGATATTAAGTTGTACAGCAGCTACAATGTCACACAAATCCATATCAATCAAGATTTTCCAGAATTCCATGAATTTAGATAGTATAAAAAATACAAAGCATGTACCTAGAGTCTTATACTTTAGTGTCCTACTGATGATAGCATACACATTTCTATGTAGGCTTAAAGGAGAGCTGACCCCAATGTGTAGCATTGTCTCCGTGACAAGTATGAGCAATGGCAGTGCACTTGAGGATTTTAGCTCAGGTCAAATGAATGTTCTGACCATTTCAGATGTATACCAAAGGAGCGAAGTAAGCTTTCCTGGTTGCGGTGTATCTTTATCCAAAAAAATATTAAACAGTTAGTAACATTTTTTTCCAGATATTTGCGTAAATGTCTAGGATTACTTTCAAGCCAATTGTTCATTTGGCACTTTTTCCAGATATTTGCGTAAATATCTATGGTTCCTGTGGCACTGGAATAACACTATACCAGTATTTCTTAAGTTAGGTACTATGCTTTGTAAATTAGGTTCCTCTTTTGCAAGTATGAACAGACAGAGGTCGGGAATGGAGACTTTGCACTGCTCAACCATGTGTTGAGATGGTCAAATGTGTCACATGGATATTCATGTCTTCATCTAATTGTTTCTCTAACCTACAAAGTTTTATATATTCAGATTCTTGGGCAGTAATCAAAATCAAAGATCAAGTCAATAATAGCATGCATTGTGACAATGAGTATCGCAGTTCAAGTATGCTTAACGTGGGAGGTTTGTAGTATAAGACAGAATATGATAGTGGAATACATACACATTCGTAAGTAGTATGTAGTATAAGCCAGATTTGAGAAAAAGTTTGTATTATGTAATAATTTGTAACTATTGGTACACATATAAGGAAATGCAACATACCTATGATGTAAGCTTTATCACATTTATTTCAAATGTTATTATATCTTTAATCTGTATTGACTTCTGGAAATCAACCTACAATAAAGAATTTAAATCTAAAATTAATCTACCTTAATATGCACATTGTAATAATTGGTACATTGCAACTTTATATGAAATAAATAATAAGGCAGAAAAAGGAAACAACAATCTCAGGACATTAGGAATTTCTCATTGTGATTTCTATATAGTTCAACTCTATTATGAGCATGCTTGGTTAGTAAATATGATAGGAAACAACAATCTCAGGACACAGGTAGTAAAACACAAAAAACTTATTTTGTCTGGCCTGAAAAAAAAGTACTCTCAGGACACAGGTAGTAAAACACAAAAAAAAACTTATTTTGTCTGGCCTGAAAAGAAGTACTGAGAAAAATGTATGAATGCTGTTCATTTTTTGCTCCATTATGAATTTATGCTTATCAAAACAATCAACACTTTCTATGAGAACACATATACTGCAAAGCCAAATATTTTATTCAAAGGAAAAGAACAAAGAGAAACAGTTGAACTTCATAGGAGATTTGCAGTGACATAATAGAATAATGTTTTCTTATTCTAATATTTTCTAATTTTCTTTTTGTATTAATCTGTTTACTTATTTATTTTAGTTACTAATTTGTTTAATTATCTATTTATTTTTTTTATATATGCCAAAGAATTGATCTGATGTGCACTAACCTGTTTTCTGTTACTAATCTGTTTTGAATCTTTAAATCTGTAACCTTGATATCTGCCTACTGTTCAAACCTCAATGATAACCAAGACAAGGATCTTATATCTAGGATGATTGAAGAAGATGATGAAGGAACTGAAGATTCTGCAAAGGTAACTAAACTTGGATGTGCTACTTTTATTGTAGCATATACAAAACATCTTTTAAAACAGTATATGAAAGTTGACTGCTCTAAATAGCTATGGTTTTAGGAAGGCTCCCAAGGTGACGGGGTAGATAGTCCAATCACAGCAACTAACAAGATTAAGTCAACTGAAGAGTCTGAAAATGTGAAAAGATGCCTGCTGGACCAGTTCTCTTCATCAAAGAATCTTAAGAAATCTAAAAATGTCCATGTGAAAGTAGAAAAAAATTGAGCTTGGTTTGTGTGTGATAGACAAAGTTTACTATCTTAGTTTTTTTTTTTTTTTATTGCCTTTTGGACTATTCAATTGGTAGCACTTTAAACAATGCTATCAATTTTCAGATGCTGTTTTTGTGATCATATCAGTTAATTGCTTGAAACTAAAATGCTCATTTTCTTTCTTTCACTTAATATTATATTCATGTAGACTTAATTTGTTAATTGATTAGTGCCCTAAGTGTTTGTATTATGCTGTTCTTTTCTATCACTTACAATAGATGCAGGATGCAGTGTGTAAGAAGTTAGGAACAGCAAAACATGAACACATGAAGAATGAAGTGGAGAGAACCAGCAAACATGGATCAAGAATGAAGATTATCTATTGTTTGAGTTGGGATGTAGTTTAGTATTTCTTTCCAAAAAGTAACTTTGTAATATAGCAAACTTTACTCTAGGTTGGTTTTAATAGTCCTCCAGAATTAGAGGTCCTAAGTTGGATGTCAATGATTTTCAAAATGTTCTGCTCAAAAATTGATCAACAATTTTTTTCACAAAATGTTATAAAAATGTCAAGAAATAAAACCTTGGCTAAAACATTTTGATGCACTTTAGACAGAAAAAATATTCAGACAAAGTTGGTAAAAGAAAAAGAAAAATCTTGGGCATCAGAATTATATTTTCATCATATGCCATGAACCTGTAATGAGAATGTTAGATGCTCTCATGAATGATATTATTATCTTCCCAGAGAAGGTAAGTGTCAAGTAATATGCAGTCAAGAAATGCTGTCAGAATGTACACCAACAATAGCCAAAAAAGAAGATTTTGAAATTACATACATTAGTGTGTTAGGATTTTAAACAATGTATCTTGCTATGCAAATCATTATTTGGCTTGAATGGATCTTTATAATCCATTCTATCCACATATATATATATATATATATATATATATATATATATATATATATATATATATATATATATATATATATATATATATATATATATATATATATATAGTTTCTACCGATGTAAAAGTATCCACAGTATACACTTAAGAAGAGGAAGCAACTATTCGAAAACAATGGTAAGTTTTCAACTGCTGAAGCTTCTTAGTAGTGTAAATTCGATTTTTGCAAGTTTCAGGGTGGTTTTTACATTCTTAGCAGTATATTTATGATATGAACTACATGGTCATTGTAAATATACAAAAACATATTAAATACTATGTCTAAATACCACAATTAAGATCACCAAATTGTCTAAAACAGATAACCCACATCAAATCCAGAGAATAAGAGTAATTAACATGCAAAAAAATCCAAACTTATTTGTTTATAAAACCCATAATTAGCTTTATTGACCCAGTGTTAAAACAACAGTTCAAATGGTTTTATGAGTACCAAGCAGCTATTAAAACATCCACAAGTTGAAGGCCATTGCAGAAATGTCCTTGCATGCTCCAGACCAATTTAAGTTATGCGATTTGGGGATTTGAGATACCCAAAAGTACTTTATTTCAATCCGTAGCAATTCATTCTAAAAATCAGTAAATGGAACTGATTCCAAATCCAGTGGGGCAAATTAATTTACGAAAACAATGAAAACAAAATACTTATCTGGGTCATGCAGAATACATGGCTCAAGAACAGCTTCATATGATTTTAGATCGTGAATCATTGTGGTTGAATAGCTCAATAACAGCTTCGACGAACAGATTTTATGGATTTGAGTAAAGTGCGATCGGAAAAGCTACCTAATACTACGCGCGATGTTTCAAGAAGGCTCAATAATCAGGTGTTTCCCGTCACTTGGAGTGAAAGAATAGATAAGGGGATGGGTTTTAGGCGTGATTTGGTGGTTTGAATGACGGACATAGCTAAGAAACGAGCGAGAGAGATGATACTATGGTGAATGGTCTGTAGTTTCCGATCCGGACAGCCAAAACAGACAATGGAATGGTTTGCAGCTAAGATATTACGGTCTGAAATGGCAATAGTTATGCTGTGCAACCGAATGCACCATGCGCATGGTGCATACGATGCAAAACGACGTCGTTTTGACTAAAAACGCGCGTTCCACTTAAAAAAAAAATTAGGTTCGATTCTCGGCAATAGCATTATTGTGGATATATAGTTATGAATTTCTGGATATATAGTTATGAATTTATGGATATTTAGTTCGTTCATTGTGGATATTTAGTTCATTCATTCACTGTGGATATTTAGTTATGAATTTATGGATATATAGTTATGAATTTCTGGATATTTAATTCATTCATTGTGGATATTTAGTTCAATCATTGTGGATATTTAGTTCATTCATTGTGGATTTTTACTTCATTCATTCACTGTGGATATATAGTTGTGAATTTTTACTTCATTCATTCACTGTGGATATATAGTTATGAATTTGTGGATATATAATTATGAATTTATGGATATATAGTTATGAATTTATGGATATATAAAAATGCTATTGCCGGGAATCGAACCTGATTTCTTTTGCGTTTTTTAACCAAAACGACGTCGTTTTGCATCGAATGCACCATGCGCATGGTGCATACTGTTACACAGCATAATTTGCGCTGAAATGGGTATGGGTATTGGACTTTGTTTATGGGCTATGTTAGAATTAAAAAAAAAAAAGAAAATATTATTGTTGGGCTGGCAGTTGGCCCTTTATTTATTTATTTATTTATTTTTTTAGATAACCCTTACATATATATATATATATATATATATATATATATATATATATATATATGTTTGTGTATAGATATTTAAGTCTATAGTTGTTTTATAGTGGCTCTTTATTCATAGTTGTTAATATGTTGGAAAATATCTTACCTGAATAAAGTTGTTAATATGTTGGAAAATATCTTATATGTTTACACATAGTTGACGTACATATTCAATTTCTTCGAATATTGATACTCTACCCATAGCTTCTTTGTTTCTGACGTTTTAATTGTTGAGTGCATATGTTGAGTATTTATGTATAAAATACTAATAAATGTTCATTTTCCTTTCAGATAACGATAATTTGCAATCATATGAGAGAAATAATGATATTACTATCACTTTTACTATATAAGTATTATCCGTGCATCGCACGGGTACAATACTCAAGTAGTATTATAAGTAACGGTAGGCGTTTTTATATAGTTTAAATTTATTATAAGCCCGCAGAAGGTATATACACATACATACATACATACATACATATTATATATATATATATATATACATATTTTATATATATATATATATATATATATATATATATATATATATATATATATATATATATATAGTTCCCATGCGATAGATTCATATTATAATAATATATTTTATTATTAACATTTGTTTATTTAATATCATTATGAACAGTTAATGAAGGTAATTGTACTATACACATAAGTATATACTTGGCGGATTTTGTCATACTAGATCTTCAGAGCAAAACTATACGCCGACACCAAGTAAAATTTGCTATACTTAACTATTTTTAATTTGTAGTTATTACTTTTAATTAATCGTTAGGTGATGGCTTATTTTTGTAAATGATGACTTATTTGTTACACAGTCATTGTGGATTGCTAATATTGGTGATGGAATAGTTGGGAATTCATCTGACGGTGAAGCCGATATTACTATTGCCGATCATTTATTGTTGCACTGTACTGATGATCCCAATGGTACAATTGTTGATGGCACATTTCCTATGTTTTGTAGTGGTAACACTGATTTCAACTATCTTCATAATCATGCTATTTTGGCTCCAACTCTGGATGTAGTAGATAGCATCAACGATTACATGAATGCTAAGAACATGGGTGAAGATAGGACATATTTGAGTTGTGATTAGTATGTAAACCTGATTCAGCTGGAGATATGTTATCCAATTTGCACACACCGGAGTTCTTAATTAAATGGATTGCGTTGTTATGAAGTTCCGAATCATGCTTTGACTATCAAGGTTGGGTTACCTGCGAGGCTATTGAGAAACATAGACCACTCTTTAGAACTGTGTAATGGCACTAGCCTAATTGTTACAAGATTGGCTGATCATGTATTGGAAGCTCATATTATGTGTGGAACATATGCAGGAACGAAGGTTCTAATTCCAAGAATGTCGTTATCACCTCCTGATTCAAGATTGCCTTTCAAGTTCCAAAGAAAGCAATTTCATGTGATGCTCTCTTATACCATGAGAATAAATAAAAGTCAAGGCCAAACGTTGTCACGTGTTGGATTGTTCTTGAGAAAGCCAGCTTTCAATCATGGGCAAATGTACGTAGTTGTTTCTAGCATAAGTAATCCGAAGGGTTTGAAAATTTTGATATGTGGGGATAATGTATCATCTGTAAATACGACTAAAAATGTCATATACAAAGAAGTTTTTAGTAATGTGTAATATAATTTCAAAGTTAAATCATTATTTAATAATTATCTAAACCTATTATTTTATTTTATTTTTTTCTACGGTTAACCTTTTGTCGATTATATTTGTCCGTGCATGTCAAGGTGGATTGCTAATATTGGAGATGAAGAGATTGAAAAGTTCACAAAGTGGATTGCTAATATTGGAGATGGGCTAATTGGTGATTCAAATGTCGGTGAAGATGATATCTCTATTCCTGAGAAATTCTTATTTCAATCAACAGATGATCTTATTGCTACAATTGTTGACAGCACTTTCCCTATGTTCCGGAGTGATCATAGTAATCTTGACTATCTTCAAAATCGTGCTATATTGGCTCCAACTGTTGATTTGGTAGATAACATCAACGAGTATATGAATGACATGAGTAATGCAGAGGGTAGGACGTATTTGAGTTGTGATTAGGACTGTAAATCTGATTCAGCTGGCGACATGTTGTCTGATTTGCACACGCCAGAGTTTTTGAATGGCTTGCGTTGTTCTGGAGTACCGAATCATTCTTTGACTATAAAAGTTGGGTCACCTGTCATGCTATTGAGAAATATTGATCACTCATTGGGACTTTGTAATGGCACAAGGCTTATTGTAACCAGGTTGGCTGATCATGTTTTGGAAGCTAAAATCATGTGTGGAACGCATGTAGGAACAAAGGTTTTAATTCCTCGAAAGTTGTTAACACCTTCTGCTTCTAGATTGCCTTTCAAGTTCCAACGAAAGCAATTCCCTTTGATGTTATCGTATGCCATGAAAATAAATCAAAGTCAAGGTCAAACTTTATCACACGTGGAATTGTTTTTGAGAAAGCTGGTCTTTAATCATGGTCAAATGCATGTAGCAGTCTTAAGAGTTAGTAATCCTCGGGGATTAAAAATTTTGATCTGTGGGGATAATGTACCATCTTTAAGTACGACTAAAAATGTCGTATACAAAGAAATTTTCAATAATTTATAATACATTTACAATTTTGTCCATTTTTCAATAATTAATTAATATAATATTGTACTTTCTATTTTGTGGCGAAAATGTAACATGTCTAAGTATGACAAAAAATGTTGTGTACAAAGAAATCTTCAACAATGTGTAATAAAATTTTAAAATTTATCATTTGAAATTTATTAGATTTTCAATAACTGTATTTTATACTGATATGCAAATTTTATGCTCATATTTTAGGTACATCTTTATAATAATTTTACATTCATTATTTAATATTATTTAATAATTAGTTTTTTTAGAGTTTAACAATTAATGAGCTAGATATAGTACTAAATATATATAATATATAATATATAATATATATAAAACACATACTAATTATATATACTACGTACTACTACATACAAAATATAATATAATATATATATATATATATATATATATATATATATATATATATATATATATATATATATGTGTGTGTGTGTGTGTGTGTGTGTGTGTGTGTGTGTGTGTGTGTGTGTGTGTGTGTGTGTGTATTCAA